TCTGAGAATATGTTGTTTTATTATTCTTTTGAAAGTCATTGCACATGAGCCAGTATACAAGAGAATCTAATTTTGTTCTCTTCAATCTAGGGGTGCATGAAGTTCAAATAGACATTTTTTTTCACATAATTCAAAGTAGAAATTTAAATGTAACTTTGTTATAAAACCTAGTTATATCTTGTTATTTGTATTGCATGGTGGTTCTTGACAGGAGTGACCTTTTCCAACAGTGGTCATTGTTGGTTATCTCCACATGAATGAGAAAGCTACTGGCATCTCCTAGGCAGAGGGCAGTACTCCTGTGAAACATCCTGCACTGCATAGGAGAATGCCCACCTCACAGAAGAACCTAACTCAGAATGGCAGGAGGTCCATGCACAGGAAACACTGCATGAACACTTCTCCACTGTGCACACAGATGTCTGCATACACAGATTCATGTACATTCAGCTGTCAATTTTAATTTCTAATCAGTGAACATCAATTTAATCCATAGAGGCCCATGTTCTCTTGGATCCTTAAAAGAAAATTTTCAGCAGTCATAATTACAATAATGCAAAATGATGTACTTGTGTAGGTTTCCAAAAGCACAGGACAATCTTGGATGCCTTCAGTCAGGACCTAATCTTAATGAGGTATTTTATAAATTAATTGCAAGAGTAAGATAGGTTCTGAAGTACTCACCTATTCTGTATGTGAAAATATAATGCAAAAATGACACTGTAAAAGAAAAAATACAACACTTATGACTTAGTCTACCTTTTGGTGAAATGGAAGACATTTTAAAGGGAGGACATCCCATAATCTAGAAATCCTCCTGTGTCAAAAGAGGAGTACCATATGGTCACTTTCCAATCTATAAAATTTCATCAGCTATCACCATACTTAGAGGCCAGATCTAGGCAATGTGATATTACAACACATTTTTAATTATACATCATTACAGTTTCCTGTCATTTGCAAACATAAAACTTCTATCCTGGAGAATTTTTCTATATATGTTCAATGTGCTTTAGAATAAACCACACAATATTTGTCTAAAAAAGTTTGAGTGCCATGCATGTTTTCAGTTGACTGAATTTATTATTCCTCTGTACATTGTATTCCTCCTTTTTCTAAATAATAGTAGTCCTATATTATAAACAAAGATAATCACTTTTCCATGACAAGAAAACTTTCTAGTAAACCTAAGTCTTCACATAACTATTGCAGCATACATCTATATAGTATATTATTTATAGCAAATGTTTCAAAGGTAATTTAAATAAAGTATTAACAAGAAGAACCATCTCCTCAGATGTGACTTCATGTCTAAGTTATGCACAGGTGCTGTATATTAGGAAACAAAGAGGTACACGGGGGTGATCTATAGGCTTCCACTTGACCTCACTGTCCAAAATGAAGCTTAACATCATTGAGATGTTAAGTCAACCAGGACACATACCCAAGAACATTTATATAGTGTTTGAATCAGTTTTTACTCCAAATGGAGTTTCATCACAGACTGACCATGAGACACTGAAAAGGCTTGCTAAACCTTACTTGAAATTTCTTTTGAAGGATTTTTTTTTTCTTTTTTTTTTTCTGGCAGGCTCATGCTGCCTTAAAGGTGGGTCTGGTAAGGCAGGCAGAGGTGGTCATCGAAGTGGGGTCTGATGTGCTTGACTGGTTTTTCCAGAGCTGGCGCTTAAACAACTAAGCTAACCTATACTAATAGTGTTTAGATAACATGTCTTCATCTTGTAGTATGAATAACTACTATGAAGATAACAATATGCAATGTATGAATTATCATTAACTATCCTACTAAACTGTTTTGAAACTGTCTCATAGCTATTTCTCAGTAAAATTATTTTTGTTAAAAAAGAGACTTCATCCAAAACCAAGTGTGACAAATAAGGAAACCAAGAATTATCCCAAATCCCATCATTCAGCAGTAGTTCATTCCTATACACTATTCTGTTAATCCGTGTGATTCCCAAACCTTCCTGCACACTGGAATCACTTGAGGAGCTTTAGAACAAGCCTGAATTGCAGCTGGACTCATTCTGATTAAATGGAGCAGGTCTGAATTGGTACATAGTCCCTTCAAAATTTCGCCAGGTGATTCCAGCATGCAATAATGTATGTGAGTAACTTCACGGTTAAGGTCAGCATCTCTGCGAAAGCCTCTGTGCACATTATTGCACCTCCCCTTCATCCCTCATTTCCTAAAGTGGTGTGAGTATCCATGTAATGAAGGAATGGAAAGCCTGGAAAAATTAGTGTGTTAGCAGACATATATTTTGAGAATGTTGTGTATTAATCCAAAGGTTTACCTATCCTCTTGAGAACAGTGCCCTTTGACTCCATGATAA